ACTACGCCTTGCTCACTCCCGTGGTCCATCAAGCCGAAAAACCAGAATGTATCAAAATCTGCTGATTAGTTTTTCGCAGAGTCTGCTGAGGCTGCTGCCTCCGCCCGTCGAGTCTGTGCCAGTTGCAGTGCGACCCCCTCCAAGGCTCTAAGATGGATGGGGAAGTGCATCGAATCGCAGGATGGCAGGATTTGCCTACACAACCAAGTCGAGTCTTCGATGATGCTCTTTGCTCTGTCTGGGGTACACAGTGCACGATCCAACCTGCGGATTCTGACCGAATAAGACCGCCGGCCTCGAGCAGCTGAAGCCAGTCTCCTGACACTGGCTTTGAGCTACAAATGAACCCCACCGCTTCAAAACTTAAGGATGCAAGGCCCTTGGCCCTTGGCTTTGGCTTCACAAAACGTGCCTCAACTCTACCTTTCAAGTCTGTCTGAACTGGAACCTCCGAGTCGGAAAACCAGAAGCCTTCCCTGCGCATAAGTCTTTCACGTGCTTGATGGGGACGGGGATGTGTCATGGTCTGGAGGATTGGTAAGTTCAGGCAGAATCACGCTGAAAGATCTGCTGCCCCAAAGACTAAGAAGGTGGTAGTTAAACCTCAACGTGCGACATGCAAAGAATACCAGCATCATCTCGGCTTTCACATCTTCGGGGTTCAGCAAGCTTGGTTCCATTACCGTGACGCTTGACAGCATATCGACAGGCCTTCTGCACGGGTCTCCAAGACCTCATACAGTGCCGTCATCTCTGACAGTACCTCCGAATCGCTGAAGGTGAGGACGACATTACAAGTAATTATACATGTATACTCATGTATATACCTGTACATACATGTGCATACAGTTGCATGCCTGGACACAACAGCATACATGCACCCTCCCACTCGCCCCACTCGCCCACCTACCTACGTGCCTACCTACACACCTCCCTGTGTGCATATATGTATGTATATATATATATACACACACATACACATGCACGCATGTATGTGCGTATATCTCTATATACATGTGTGTATACATAGGGCCTATGTACATCTGCTTTTACATGTCCGCATCCATGAGAGAGTACATATGCATATGACGTAAATCTGGATAACATACATGCATATGTCAAAGCTGACTTCGCAGACTTCCCAAGTAATAGATTGAGGCTGACGGTTAGTAATGGCATGCACAGAGCACTCTGCGCGCAAAAGACTCACAGAGCTCGAAATCCAGCCGCCTCCCAAGCCGTAATGCCACTTCCTCGGCAGGTTTGGGCTTCTGACATTCTTAGAAGTAGCTTTTGTTAACGATGCACTGCTTTCGAAGCCCGGAGAGGAGGCCGTGAGCGATGACCGCTTGTTCGTGTCTGGTCTCATTATGCTTTAAGCAGATGAACCTTGTTTGCACTGCCCGCAAGTAATGTGTGCGTTCGAAAGTCATACATTCTAATGGAAGCAAGTGTGGAGAGCATCGCAAGTTTTGGAACAACCAGAACCAAAAATGAGGTGAACAATCAGTAATCTGACAACTATGCGGCGGCCGTGGTTGTAATTGCAGTGTCGCCTGCTGCTCAGGTCAACGACAACAAGTCTACAAGCCGAGTTTCCTGAGTTTTCCTGTTCATGGCCTGACTTATAACTTCCTGACTAAGATTTCGTGGCATGGGTGCGGACTGAATGCTTCCTTTTTACTGCGGCAGCCAGAAGACGTTTCTGACGACATCTGCAGGCCCAAGTGCCAATTAGCACAAGCAACTGACAAGCAAAAGACACCTGACTAGCAAACCAGCAGCACATAAAAAGAAACAAGCTCACGGAACACTAAAAAATACATAACAGCCTGTGCATGTGCACTTTTACATGCCCCTGCATATGTCTGTAGCTATATAGTTATAACTTATAAGTTATACCTACTCAAGTATAGCTGCTAAAGGCATATACTGACATGCATATACATATACACAAGTGTAAGTTACTATGAGCAACATAGCAAACGTTAGCTACTTATCTGCATACATATATCTCTGCAGTAAGCAAGTGCGTGGTTTTGGGCATGGATGTGTATATGTACATATACGAACATACTTAGCCTCTCTACTCTCTACTGGCTTTGTAGATTCGTTGCCGTGCGCTTCCGGGGCCCTGTCCTGCGCTCACCGCATTGGCGCAACGCTGCGCCCCACGAAGGCAAAAGCGCAGCGCCTGAAGCAAAGTGCGGCAAGAGGAGTGTGTGTGTGTGTGTGTTGTGCGTTCGCTGAATACGCGCATTCAAGTTCCTTCGAAGACGAGCCTTTCAAGAGGAACAGCTGTACTTACTAATCCACTCATCAGGTCAATCAACTTCAGTCCTTCGCACATAGTTGCCTTTCAAAGTCCATTGAGAAAAGCTTTGGCAGTTCAAGGGGCAACCTGCAGCCCCAAACGTAACATCCACTACAGCAGCTACTATCAAAAAGAGTCACAAACACCGAGGACTCCAAAAACTGATCGGCAGCTCTTAGGGCCAAGCCCACTCGCACAGGGCTTGCCTATCCTGCTCGTGGCAGTGAGCGACCATGAACTGCATACCGCATACCTGTAACTTCAGAACAGGTGCCTCATCGCAGTGATGTGCTTTTAAATGCTCGACGTTCAACTTTGCCCCGAAGTCCTCCCGGCTGTGTATCTCTCCAGGCGGCTCAAGCCTCGGAGTCCGCTCCGAGACGCAGGGAGTTCGGAACCCTTGCAACTCCCAAGGCCGTCCTTCCACTCGCTGCCTGTCTTTGAGGACATGATGCCATGGCCGGACCGAGTGTCCAACGAAGAGGGGTCCGATAGAAGCTCGCGAGCCTGGGCTGATGTTGCTGTGACGAAACACAAAGCAAGGGCTTCGACGACCAGAAAAGCCAGTCCACTTGTGCTGGCGAAAGGGCTGGTGCGATATTGCTAGCCTCCTGCATGAGGACCACTAGTGCTTTAGCTGGCTACTCAACGAGGTCCCTTCTTGAGATGACTCGTGAAAACATGGCCCAGAGCTAGGATGAAACTCCAGCTACTACTCCGGATGCAAGGCTTGTGTCGTCCATTCGAGAGCTGATCCACGACACGAAATCTCTGCTTTCATGCCACCAGAGTCACTAGAGTCAACCGTCCCACCCAAATCTTTCTTTAGGCCCAGGCCTTCACGCCCAGAACAAGGACGCATACATGGATACGCCGAATGCATGGATACGCGCAGCAAACGTCTCACCACCTTATACCACCTTCACCCCACCGCATTGCAAGACCTGCAATACCATGATACCATGACAGCTTGCGTCGTAAGGACTAGCACCATTAGATCCGTCCAGGCTAAGGCGGGGGCCACTCGGAGCCATGCGACGAACTGCGAGTCCGCCTGCTAGCAAAGCACAGCATACGTCGCTATACAGGGATCTGCCCGATTAAGGGGTGGTGGCTGCAAAGCTATCGCAACCTTGAAGGAATCATTCCAAATGCTGATGGCCATGATGATGATACCGGAAACTAGGCATAGCAGTTGCTGATGAGGTTCTATAGGTTCTGATGGCGGTGGCCATAGAGGAAATGGAAATCAACACGTAACGATTAATTGCTACTGCTACTGCTACTACTACCACTACAGTACCTACAACCACAACAACAACAACAACAACAACAACTACTACTACTACTACTACTACTACTACTGCTGCCACTACTACTGCCACTGCCGCTACCACTGCTGCTGGCCCTGACACAGCTACGACGACCCTCTCTCTCAAGATTCGTGGTGGCAAAGTACCATGACGGCAGCTGCAAAGCTGCGGGCTGCTACGTTGCGGATTGCTGCAGCCGCTTTTTCTGATAAAGAGTCCACCGGCTGCCTCCACTGCGTCCATTGTCTGGGCGAGGAGGGGCGGCAGCTCCAACAAGGCCTTTAACATGAGGGCCCGTCGGGTGGGGCTCAGAGGTCTCTGGCTTTCAAAGCCCTGCGAGGCGGCGGCAGGGCCGCTTGCTCTCCTGCGGTTCTTCCCCGCAAATAGCTTTAGAGGTATTCGTGGTTTCGGTCTGCAGGCGGTCCTTATGCCTGCAGATGACTGCTGGCTCAGTGTCTGCAGGCATGCCAGGGTCTGCAGCAGGCATTGAAACCTGGGAAAGCTGAAGACTGGACAACGTCCGAGGCATGGTAAGCATCAAAGGAAGTTCGTCGTTCATCATCCTTGCGCTTGGGTTCGAAGCATTCTGAAGGTATCGATTAACAATCCGTCGCCAAAGCTTACTGCGTGGAAGTGCTGCTGGCAGCCGTAACTTGAACCCCTGCAACAACTAACACCATCGTGTCCCGGATCGGGTGACAAACTCTGGCGGAAGGACTTGCTGAGAAAGGTAAACCCGTGAAGAGCTGGGCTTGAAGCCACGGCCTGAATCGAAAGGCGACCCCGGCAAACGACCAGGGGGCCGGGCGGAGCCCCAGTGCCGAGCCCGACAAACGCCTCTGCTGGCAAGCTGCGGCACGCGGCAGCGGCCTTTCGTGGATCGGGGGCTTCTGGGCTAGCTCTTGAGGTTCGCAAGATCAAGGTTTTTAGGACTCAAGCGGCTGGTAAGCAGGGCTGCCATATGGTGTCTGCAAGCCCTAGCCCCTGACGATGCGCCCAAGGTTTGTGCGCGCAGGCCTAGTTTCTGCTGTAGACCCGGAACGGAACTAGTCTCGTGTACATCTCTGCAGCCCAAGCATGACTTTCAGCCTTCGTGCCCCTACTCCCCTCATTCCTACGTGTAAGGTGTCAAGGCATGCAGCTAAGGCCTCGCAGACAGCTTTCAGCAAACTGGCCGACAGCTCCTGGATCGGTGAGACAGGAGAACTGACGAGCGCCTAAGCGTAGCATGACCCTCCCTCAGGCACCCTAAGAGATATGTTCTTAACAGCACAAACACCCGAATGAGGGGTTCTTCGCCGCGGCCTTGCATGAGCCACATTTTGTGCACGTTTCAACCGAAACACACTTGCAACGTCTCTAATCGCAACCTTCTACCTTGAGAGGCTCTGCAGGCGATCCCAACTGAGCGTTTCGGGCACTTGATTTTCAATTTCCTGGCCGTGACTCACGATCACGTTGTACCTTCCCTGCGTGGAGACTTTGATCTGCTTCGAAAGGCGTGGCCTTGGTGCCTTCTTGATCACATTGCCGCAGAAGGCCGCAATCTTGGTGGCATACAGGACAGGAGCCGGCACGAGCACAGCGTTTGGAACATTGTAGTACATCAGGCAGAGCAGGCTTGTAAGGTTTTCGATCAGCTGCAGGGACAATTCAGCGCGATAGATCATTACTTCACACTGTGCAGTATAGTGCGTTGGGACAGCGCTCCCTTTGGCAACGGCCTGGCTGAGCAAGAAGAACTCGCGGGTGGGACCAGGACAAATTATGGGGTCATCCACAACAGTACCTGGCTCAGGGTTTCTGATGTTCTGCTTGTCACCCTTGAAGATCCGCATGTCAGTCTTCCTGGCAATGCCGATAACCACAATTTTGGGTGCATATCCTCTCTGCAGTTTGGCAGCTGCAGTCACTACTTGCAGCAGCGCTTCGCATCAACCAAGGGCCATTCCTCCTGGTTCACCGATGCACGGTACACAACAATGGTTTCCGGCAAGATGCCATCGTTGCAGTCTGTAAAAGCATTGAGCGCATAACGGAAGAGGCGCTGAAGTTCAACGGACAAGCTGGTCCTCCACCGCTGCATGGATCCCTTCTCCAACTCGGCTGCCATGGAGTAATACTGAGAAAATACCTTGTCCAAAGTCGCGGAGATTCCGAGCCAACGGGCCCCTTCGAAGGTGAGGTAGACATCAATGCCAAAGATCATGAAAGGACGCTTCTTGAAATCCACAAAGGCAGCAGCCTTTGAATCCTTGGGGATGATTTGCCACAAGGGCCCGCAAAGCTTCGCATTGATCTGCTGGACCACCTTGTGGAGGATGGAGCCGATGGATTGGCGCTTGCGGATGGTGTCACTGCGAACGACCTGCGAGATGCAGGGATACTGCTCACATGCCAGGTGCTTGAAGGAATGGTACACCTTCCTCACACTCTTGTTCGGGATGAGCAGCACCATCAGCTGGGTGCTCGGGGTAATGTTGTCGATGATCTTTGACTGTAGTTCCCGGAGCTGATCACTGCAGCAAACCTTTGTCGGCTCCTCCAGCTCACAGTCGAGTGCAACCCTCGCAACATCTTGCAGTGATCGCAACCAAATCTCCAATACTGGCTCATCCGTCTGTGGATAGAACCGTAGCCACTGATCGATCGAGACAGGACACTGAACACCGTTCCGCAAAGACCGAACACCTCTACCTTCCTCGCATAGATCTTCTTTTCATTGAAACCCACCTGCAAAGTCTCCAGCAGCTTTGCTTCCAACTCGAGAGTCTCTGTGGGTGGTCCCGACTGACAACCCCAGCCTTGAGCGCTTCAGGCAATTCATTCTCCATGACATTGCGCCTCTCCTGTGGGGAGGCTTTGATCTGCTTCAAGACCTCACTTAGGGGAATATTCTCCTGGCCATCTCGTGCGTCACACAGATACGACAGCAGAACTCTGTCAGCAAGAGTATCGTGTCCTTGGCCTTCCGTGGATAAGCTTCCAAGAGTGCCTGGGCCTTGAAGGCTACAGACTTCTCGTAGAAGGCTTCCAAAAACTTCGTATCAGTAATTTCGACAAACTTCTCCCCGCCACTCCCTCGCTGAAGATATGTGAAGGCGCTGAAAGGATTCATGTCGAGATGCACTTGCTGTATCCTATACACACGGAAGTTGTAGTTCGTCACAACCACTGAGGACAGACAGCATCGCAGCCATTCGGCCTTGATTTCCGGAGATTGCTGAAAGATGGCACCATTCACACAATAAGCACTGGTTACCCTGTGGTGTTTCTTGACCTGTTGGCACTCGTTCTTGAAAAAGCGCTTGCCAACCGTCTGTCTTCGGCTTTGCCCCGCTAGCTGGTCAGCAATGCACTGCGCTCCCTAAACCCCTAAACCCTAAACCCACTACCAAAGAAGCCGGGCCAATTTGCCCATCTTGGATGTTCTGGGCAGTGATTTCGGCCACATGGCAAACATTCAGTTGCACGAGCTTGCAGTTCTCATCGCGTGCCTTCAACGGAAAGTTCTCCACCTGGGTGGGAGAAAAGATGCGGCCAGCAGACAAATCACAAAATGAACCAAATGTTTCTTCATGTCGACCCATCCCCTCTCGAGCAGCTTCCGCTCATAATCTGCCGAGGTCTGTGGAGCAGGAAGTTCATAATCATACTGGATGCTGTTGGTCCACTTCATCCGAAAAAGATTGATCCCCACCGGGAAGGTCTTCTCGGGATTCCTTCCGGTATCTTTGAGCAGCTCGTGTGCAGCTGCGATGCCATCTTGTTGTATGGGAAACATTTCGTGCTGGTACATTTCCACTCTGCGCAGAGATTCCGAAATCTACTGCCAGGCTACATGATACGGCTGCTAACTGCTCGCACCAAGTTCGTAAATACCGCGGGCAGGCAAGTTCCACAGACTTCTCCCTCGCTCATGATATGTGAAGGTGTCGAAAGGTTTCACTGTCGAAATGCACTTGCATTATCCTGCCCACACGGAAATTGCAATTCGTCATCACGGTGAAGGACACACAGAGTCGCAGCCATTCGGCCCTGATTTCCGCAAATGGCTGGAAGGTATCTGCGCCATTCATAACACAATGCAAGACTTCCATCACGGTTTTGGCACTGGCCGGGCTGGCTTGAGCAAGGCATCCAATTGCAGTAACGGCCCTGCACTACGCAGCCTGGCAACATTCACACAATATGCACTGGTTACACTGTGGGTTCCGCTGACCATCATCAGCAGCACCATAATGACTGTCAGCAACTTTGAGATGTGATAATGAGCAGTGCTGTCGTTCCTGTGACGATGACGAAAAGACTGTAACCATTCCCCTTCGCACTGTTGAGTTGTAGAATGATATCTACGAAGGCTGCTGCCAGGTGAAGCAGAAGCAAAATAACAATGCCATTAGCGGTTTTCGTGGCTGGGCGGTGTCTCCGGCAGCAGTCAGAGTAGCAGCGGCAACGGCGGCAGAACAACAACGATGCTCACGGTTAAGACGACGACGGGACACCACCGCTCGATACCGCTCGTATCACTGGTGGGAGCTAACCTTGAAAAATACTCTTGGTCGTTGTGCTTTCGCCGCATTTACTGCTAGCTGCGAGTCAACACCACGGTTAGCCCACGTTGTCACCAGACTGTGCTTGACATCATCCTTGCACTCCTGCTAATACTCCATGTCCCTCGATTTCCCTCCAAGTCTTTACGAATTCCCCAAGCCTGACCTCGGATTCGGAAGCCTCGGCACCCAGGGCAAGCCTGCTCTTGGAAGGGGACATGGACATGAGTCGGCTTGAGGTTTTGGGACGTCGGGTCTTGGGGTGTGTTGGATTCAAGGTTCATGCCCAGAGGACTCTCAGAATGGTTCTGGCTGAGCGTCTCACCCCGGAACTCAAGGCTCTGGAGATGCAAAAAGATCTGCGGAGGACCCAAAGACATAGTGCTGACATTGGGAGCTTGCAAGTCACACACTTCCGTGTCTCGCCAGAATAACCCGAACAGACCTGGCCATGGTTCGAACAGCTTGTCTTACCCACGGACAGCCAGGAATGTTCGGATATGAGTAGTTCTGTGTGCTCCTGGTAAGATACGCAGCCAACGGAGATGGCTTCCTTCAGCATCACTACCGCAGCTTCAATGCTCAGCGACGCAGGCACTCCGTTACTCCGGTGCCTCCACAGCAGAACCAGCATTGTGCGCAGTAAATTCGACGGCACACCCTTGAATCGAGTCACGTGCAAAAGAGGGATTCGAGGTAAAGCACATTGAATGGTCAAACAGGGCAAGCAAGCAGCGAACGGCTTGACTGCGAAACGAACTCGTGATCCTCATGGCTAGGCAGGGGCCTGGATCACGGACAAACTCTAACCTCACGAATAAGCTTTCGGCGTTGCAGCTTCGAGATGCCATCTCCTCACAAGTCTCACAGGACGAACAAGTGCTGGCAGTACTGGCGATCTCATTCGACATCGTCGCTACATCCGCGCATGTTGTGTTCAGTTTCTGATGCCGGATAGAGCCAGCTGAAACAGATCCGTAGGGCCTGGAGTCGTATGCGCAACATGGAGATGCGGCCGGGCCAGTCTGTCGACTCTGTCAGCCTTGGCGGGAAACGCCACGGCTTCTGTCGTGATTCGGCTATCTACTTGAGGCTCCTCTGCACCTTCTGGGTTCCATAACACGTTCGCAGCTGAAACACGCCTGTGCGGCCGAGACGCGACGAATGTAGAGTGCCGCAAGTGGCGAAAGGGCTTCAGGCTCAAAGGCTCAAGACGAGTGGGCCTCTAGCCGACCCTGCGAAAAGAAGGCCTTCAACCCTTAGAAAGAGCCAGATCCAGCGGCTTACATAATATATGGGTTCTCCACACAAGCTGAATCCTTACGACATTGAGATCCTCAGCTCCGGCTGCGATGGGGACGGCAGTCCTCTAAACCCACTTACAGATCAAATCTGCGCACTTGTAGGAGTATCTCTCGTGACCGGGCCTGGAGCCCAGGGCATGACCGGGCCCCAGACTGCGACCCGGCCGCCAACTCCTCCATCGCCGCCTCGATGTCGGCCTCACGGCTACGAGTCCCCACTTTGCAAGCTTCGGGCTTCGCCTTCTGCCCAGCTGCGGCTCCACTACTGAGCACCTCTGAAACCAAGAAGCTGCTTTCAGAGAGCCCCTCCCCGCCACAAAAAAGCAGCCGCAACGCCATGGCCCAACTGGCCACAGCGCCAGATAGGGAGTTGAACATGTCAACACAAGCCCAGCCCTCCTTCACGGGCAGGCGAGGCCCAGACCAAGAAGTCAATTCAATGAGTGCTTGCGGCAACAAGGTTTGAAAACGGCCATCTGTACATTCGTACGTGCTGGCCCTGCGAACACTTTCCAAGGGTGCCTGTGGCATACCATCCCGTCACTCAGTCGTGCCTCCAGCTCGGAAGCGTCCCGGGTTCCTGCAAAGTGATTCCGCATCATTCTCATGTCAGGCTGTGCCATGCTGCGAGCAATCTTGCGTTCAATGCCATGCCTTCTGGTGCTGGAGATTGAGCGTCCACCTCCGAGAACACATGCGCAGCTCAAGTTTCATGCTATGCAGGCCGCCAGATTCATCCTCGTCGAGGTCGGGATTTAGAAAGATGTCTACCATGGCCGATCCCAAATCTTTTTGGCAAAGAGGCATCATCGCTTCCGCAAGAACGTGCTGGAGCGTTCCTTTCTACACAGCCCCATGGATGGGGGCAGGGCAGATGCTCAAGAGATCAGTGGAGACTCGGCCACACTTCCTCGAACCTGCCTGCGACTGAAGCACCATATGAAGTAGGATTCTACTTCTACTGATTACTAACCGCCGGAGGACACAACAAACCTACGAAAACCCTAAATTGCAAACCGTCAATGACCCAAAGCTTTCGGCTTCCCGCTATACCATCACCTAAACCCTAATGAAATTCTGCCGCATAAACCGACAGCTTAGAAGCATAAGCAAAAGAGGTCAGGGAATTCTTTGCAGAGTTTGGCCTTCAGTTTGGCATGAACGCCCCGATACTCTCGTGATCCGACCTTCTGACTTCGATCCTCCACTACCTGCGCAAATCACTTCAACCTGTGGTAGAACATTCAGCCATCATCTGTTTTGTGCATTGTCTCTGCGGCAAACCTGTACCAGCCATGTAGGATTATCGCACATGAAGGCATCTCTTGCTGAGGGATTGAGCTTACGCGCAGATTGTAGTGCACCACTTTGTCGCTTTGTTGCCTAGACGAACAGGCTGAGGGCTCCCTGCTCAAGCCTATATATCCCCGTCGGGACGTCATTCCAGACTTTGCAAACCTGAGAAATCCAGATGACCTTGAGCTTTTTCTGCCCCAGGCTGGGCCGGGCCGACGAACTGAACAGCCATCGGCTGGGCAAAGTTACCAGCAACGAACACAGTCTGATGCACTCTCAAGCTCGTCGCAAACTGCTGCCGCGACCTCGTATTACCCCACTCTTGCACTTAATGCAAGCGGCCGAGCCGGATGTTTTCGACTCTTGGCTTCTGCAAATGCTGGCCAGCTTCAGATATCTTCGGATGCTCTGAATCTCCGTCTCGATGCCCAGCATCAACAGATTGCTTTCGGAAAAAAGAGCGAAAACTGGTCGACACACGATGAAGCCTTCAGGAAGCCCGAGTTCTCCATAATATGGGTTTTTCCCGGGCTAGACTGGGAAAGGCCCTGGATCTGCGCAGCCTCCGCCTGAGTCCAGTGCTTAGGTTGCGAAGACCTCTTAGTCTTAGCTGGGCTGGTGCGTGCTGCATCCCGTGGATGCTTCGTTGCTGAGTCGCACGGATGCGGCGATCGATTCCATGGTTACCGCAACTTTGAGACCGCAACTTTTGGGATCAAGCCTGCTCGGCTCAGAATTCCGATCTAGTTTCCATGCTTCAGCCTCGGGCTTCGGAGGCTTCATCTGATATTGCGCCGCCGACCGCAGCCAGCAGCCCAATCAAGAAGTTTCTTGCCTCTTAAAGGCCGCCTGTGGGGTTTCGGACTTCTAGACTTTCGAGGCTCTCCTGATTGTTCACATCGTGAACTGCTATTTCACACCCGGGCACGTTGCCCGGAGCCAGCGACCCTCACCTCGGGCCGCTCAAAATAACCCCAGGCCCTAGAATCAGCTGCAACGCTGAGACTTCGTAACGCAGAGAGAAGACATGAACTGCACTTGAAGAAGCGTCTTGCAGGAGAACAGCCGTCTGAGCTCACCGGTGACGTACCCTTTCCTCTCATACCTCAAGTGTTCCGGCGGGTCAGGCTACGCAGGGAGGTTCGTTGGTCGCAGCCCAAGTGCTTGGCTCAGCCATGCCTTGGACTGATAACGCGGGACGACCTGAAATCTTTGCGAAGGAGACACAGAGTCAAGAGGACATCCGCCGCGGTCGCGAATGCCGAAAATTGCCGGAAACGGCAAACTGTATCGTGCGATGTTGCTGCAGTCCGATCCACAACTTCCTCTCTGAATATCCGGGGTCAGGCAAGTCTGCTACACGGGGCATCTCCAGCAAAAGACTCTGGAAGTCTCGTAATGCATGCACCTTCGCATGCGTTCCCCAGAACTCCCACACCGGGCCCCACATCAGAAAGAACCTGGAGCTCCGGAAGCGAAGTCTGCTCTGAAGAGGCATGTCGTAGCTGATGTGGATCTGAAAGAGCGTCCTACGCTAGGCCCTTAGGCTCCAGAGAGCAACGCGGAGGTGCTGAGTACATGGATCAAGCCGCCCCAAATCTTATGAGAAGCCTTTGACGGGGGCCGCGTTCTGGGAAGCCTGGAAA